ATTAGAGACAGAACAATCAGCATATGTCAAAATACAGAGATGTGAATTAATATACAACGGCCTGTTTGGGTAACTAAAGATTTTCAATGCATAAACCTAAAGAGTGTACACACAGACAGAGGGCATGGGTGTTTAACTGCCAGGAAGGCATCATCTTATAAAAGGTATTAGATTTTATCCTACATTTTAGGCTAAGGAATGGCACAATCATGTTTCGAGAAAATAACTTTGTAAAAGAATGGAAATTTAAAAAATTAAAAGTAATACCAGAGATTGAAACTAGTAAGGAAGTCATTATACTAGTAAGGAAGTATTAGACAGAACAATATAATGTGGACCTAATGTTAAACTTGATAAGCAATAGTGTTAATAGGAGTAAAACCACCAATTTAAACAAATAGGTACTCAGAAAGTAAACCATAACAGTACTGTATTCTAAGCTCCCCAGCAACTGCCATTTTCCAAATGCCTTTCTTCCTTACCTGCAGGTTATTATATAGGCTAGAAAAGCAAGATACTCACTCACTCACTCAGTTTCAGCAGTTACATGTGAGCCAATGCTGGGTCATCTCTTGGAAAGCAGAGGGGCTCTAGCAATGTTCTTCCTGTCTGTGAAAGGACACAGATATGTATAGGGAAAGTCCCTGCCCTCCTTTACGTCCTGCTGGCTGGGAATACTACACTTAGTGCTATGGCAGTAAATCCACAGTCATGGGGGTCAAACCAAAGGCAACAAGACTGAACACAGCAGAGTATGAGAATGGGAAAAATCTCAGGTTTTTTTTTTTTTTTTTCCTTTTTATCGGTACCGGGGATCGAACTCACAACTGCCTGCTTGCAAGGCAGGTGCTTACGCCGCTGAGCTAAATCCCCAGCAAAATCTCAGGTTTTTTTGTGGTACGAGGGACTGAATCCAGGGCCTTCACATTGAGCTACATCCTTAGCTCTTTTCAAAAAAATGTTTAAGACAGCATCTCTTCAGGCCACTAAGTTGCCTGGGCTGGGCTCAAACTGGCAATTCTCCTGCCTCAGTCTAAAAATCTTGATTATGTGACTCGGCTGTTGAGCTAACCCAGGACTAAATATCCTTCCAATTTAAGACACTGATTGTTAAGTTCTGTTATTTTTGTATGGATCAACCACACTGAAACACAGACCAGGCTTAATGATTGACTGTGAAGGGTCTGTCAAGGAATGCAAGGAACTTAGATTTACTCCCCAGTTTCTGGGTTGGGTTACTGAGTAAAAGAAAGTATTAGTTACCAAAATAAAATTATAACATAAGTGGTGGTGTTTTAGTGAGAGCACAGGTCAACAGTAGCGTGATCTGGTAGAGGGGGAAGACATTTGTTTCTGGACGTGATGATTCAGAGATACTATGAATATTACAATTCAAGATATTATTAGGTAAAGAGTATATTCAGATGTATAAGTCTGAAACTTGTTCAGAAATTATGAACTACATATACAGATATATGTGAAGACCTTATATATAAACCACATATACTTTCACACTCTACTAATAGAAAAGGCAGGGCAAAAGAATGGAGTACAGGCAAAAATGCCTAAATCTGAAGAGCCCTAAGGAATATTTTTTTTTTTTTCTGTCTTTTTTTCCCCCTAAGATTCTAAAGACGTGGGTTGGGAGTACAGCTCAGTGGCACAGTGCCTGTCTGGCTAGTGCAAAGTTCTGAGTCTGAATCTTGGTACCCAAAACAAAACAAAAGATTCTAAAGATGTACAGAAACTGTTTAGCACAGAAAGAAAGTTGTTTACAGAATAAATCTACAAACACTATCAAATACCTTCATACTTTACAGGTATTTATTAGTAGGCACAATAGGGAAAAGAAAATGTGGACTAATGAAAAAAAGAAAAACCTTCTGCTAAAGAGATTTGTCCTCATGCTTTAAACTAATCTGAATCAGCTTCTTTGCTATATATACCAATAAACTTGAAATATGTGAATAACCTCATTTCCAAGATTCAGAAAGTAACTACCAGATACACTTTATTGGTGGTAGACTACCCCAAGTACATTGAGGAAGGTAACCACCACAAAGAGAGCAGGCAGTAGCAGCACCATCCATGACTAACCTTTTGAGGCTAACACTATTCTTCCAGCAGTTGATACAGGTAGCTTTGATACAACTACTAAGGAATATGTAGCAGTTACAGAACTAGAGGAATGTTCCACACAGATGCCTCAATCTGATGAACAGGAAACAGATTTGAAGCAGGTGACAATCTGACAAAGATGCACAAGGATACACAGCAACAGATATAACCACAGTCGCAAAAAACCAATGGTTGATTTTTATGTCAAATTTGGAGCAGATAGCTGATGTACTAAGCCTGCAGAAAACAGTCTCAAAGGCATCTAACAGGACTAGGAATTACAACCAAAGATAAAAGGAATTCATCCTTGGCATCAAGCAAAAACATCAAAAGTTAAAACTGACTTGAGAAAAATAAGCATGAGTCAACGTGTACCTCAACCCACCGGTCTGCCTTCTAAATTACAGTGTAATGGATCACACTGTTTCCTCCACAGCAATGTGTAGTAGTTTTCCTCCTTCAGGGACCCTCAGCCCTTCACGGAAGCCCACCATCACTTCCACTTATGAAATTCTAGTGCAGCTGTCCGTTTTCTCTCAAGCACTCTGTATGTATGCTGGTTATACTGGACCAGCAGTACATCCTGTTTTTTCCTACTCCTGTCAGTTTGTCCTCTGCCTTTGGAGATCCTACCAATGTTTCAAGTTTCCCCCATTTTATCTTTCAGCGTTCCCTGATCCTATAACCTAGTCTCCATTGCATCTGTTTCTGCTTTTAACAAAATCCTGGTTCTCATATTTTGAACTGTTGCTATCAGGACAGTCTAAATTCCTTAAAGGAAAACGGGTAATTCATATTGTTGCTTCTACAAAATCAAAATTAAATTAGTAATAAGTTACTGAATTATAGTACTGAATACAATACTTGTAGACCAAAAACTCAAAAGAACATACAAGTTTTTTATTCAACTATCCACCATTCTGTTATGTTTCTCCTACTGTCTACTGTCGATAGGAAAAACCAATACATAAGAAATAATCACAAGAATTACTTGATAAAGAAAATGATGGATCAAGGCTATCCCTTAGAAATTCTAGATACTATGGGCAGGTCAACTGACCCTGTTCACTGCCTGCTTCCTCCATAACTACTTACTTTTTATGAAAGTTAAGAAATAAGCTGTTGGTTAATTAGGTAAAAATTTAACATTGTTCAAAACACTCTTTCTTTCCTTATAAAGTACTGGTTTGAGTATCTCCAGCCTCTCTCAAAAGAAATAGCAAAAGTTTTCCTGATTTACACAATATCTACCAAATGTCAAGACATTCTTTTAAGTTTTATTTCAAAAGTACCCCCATCATGGTACCATGAATTGAAACCATGACATCTTACAGGCAAGCACTCAACTACTGCATCCTAGCTCTAAAAAAAATGAAACCAACAACTTTGTATATTTTCACATATTTCTTCGAGGCTCTGAAACCACGGCTTCTGGCTTCTGGCCACTGCTTAATCCTAATTTATAAATAATAGCCGTATCTCAAGATACATTTTTAAGAGTAGAATGTACCTCGAGGGATGGTTTGAGATGGTCTTTATGAATAAAAAAGAAACCAAATTCAGGTGGAGAGCACTGAAACAATAAAGGGCAACATGAAGTCTCAGAAAAGAAGTTTGTCTAGTCAAACACAAAAAGTTTAGAGATTTTTAAACAGTGGCATAAGATAAAGGCCTTACTAAGTGCCATGCTGTTCTAAGATTTCTTGTCTTGATTATTCTGCCCCTTAGTTTTTTATATCAATTTTACCTCTTCGTCCACTAACTCACCTTTTATCTCCGGGCTTACACTACAACTTAATAGAGGACTCACTTCAAGTCAGGAGCAGGCTCTACGCTCTGTTGACATAATTCCCAGATATGGTATTCGGAATCCCTTTTTACACTCTAAACTTACACTCTTACAAACAATTCAAAAGAGCACAGTTTAAATCAGTGAATGACAATCAAGAGTCTGCACTTCAGTATTTCTGCTGTAAGGCATCTTTAAACCAACGAAAATATCGATGGGGGATTTTTTTTTTCATCTGTCATCTACTTACAGAAAATTCTAAGCACTACAGGCAGAGATAATCTTTACAAAACACACAACTCGGTAACCAAAGACAAGCCAATAAACCCAAGCATGCACCTAACCAGGGCAGTAAATCTCTACCCAGAGTCTCTCCGGGGGAGTATTTCAATTGCAACGATCCGGCGAACCAGTCCTGGGACTCTAGTCTGTGCTTGCAGGCAGCACTTCAAAGTTAGGTGCCACAATAAACAAGTTAGTTCTTTCCCCTCCGGTGGTCATGTCATCCACCTGTTGCATCACCTGGAAAGTGGCCTTCGGGATCTAGGGAAGGAGCAGCACCGTGATCTCGAAAGAACTCAGCGCGGCTATTTGCTTGATAAATTTTAACCACATTCACTTTCCTGAAGCTGCTTTGGGCAAGGGTGTGCGGGCTGGCGTCCACCTTTGGAGAGAGTCTAGGAGAAAGAGCGATAGCTGGGACTTTCTGGACTTAGATGGGAGTTTCGGAAGACTTGAGCGTTCAGACAAACGCACTGTGCAGCAGCACTAGCAGCAGCAGCAGCAGCAGCAATAGCAGCAGCAGCGAGAGAAGCCGAGCGCGGGGCAGCCGCGGGGCCAGGTGGTGGCGGGGAGGTCGGAACTGCGACCGAGGCGCCACCGAAAGAGCACAGCACGTTCGCCGCCGAGGGGCCGGGCCCGGAGCGGGTCCAGCAGACCCGAGCCTCGGGCGCAGAAGCCCCGAGGCGGACAGGGTCGCGCCGACCCGTGCGTCGCCGGCGCCGGATTAGAAAACGACCGCATCCCCTCCCCCACCCCTGGGAACTCCGCCGGGGGCGGGGAGCGCGCAGGCGGCGCCCGGGGCTGCACTCACCATGTCGTACACGTTGAGCACCACTAACTGGTTCGCCCCCATCCTCCTCCTCCCCGCGGCCGCCGCCTCGTCCGCCAGCCGCTCGCTCTCCGCGGGGTCGAGGCCGCTCCCACCTCAGCGGGCGCCTCGGGGGGCCCGAGCCGGGCACTACGCGTACAGCCCAGTCCGCATCAGCCGGCGCGGAAGCATCTGGCAGCCGGGCCGCTTCGGGGCGCCGCAGGCAGGAGCCGGTACGAGGACGGGGCCGGACGGGTGGCGGGCCCGCTCCGGCTCAGGCGCCTCCCCTCGGCAGCAGACACGTGGGGAAAGGCGGGGCCTGAGCGAGGGGCGGGCGCCAGGCGCCCCGGAGGCGGGGCTGGCCCGGCGCCGAGCTGAGCCGCCTGCGCTCTGGTTCTCTGCTGCCGCACCTCGGGACCTAAAATGGCGGCAGCCTCGGAGCCGTTCCAACCTTGGGGGTGCGAGGTCGCAAGAAAACTACAATTCCCAGCATGCAGAGCGTCACTAAGGCGGAGTCTCTACAGCCCTTTACTTCAGTTCCCACCATCCTGTGGGGTCCCGAGCTGCAGCAGATGTCCCGAGAGACTACATCTCCCAGCATGCAGTGTCTTAGATCGGCCTGCGGAGACTTCGCGGTTCGTCCTTGGCGAAAGCTGGTCACCCACCTTCAAGCTCACTGCGCTGATTCTGGTGCTGTTAATTTATGTCTCGTTGAACCTGATGAAGCCGACAGAGTGTGACAAAAAGACCAAAATCATGACCCTAAGTTTTTCAGTCCCTCCCTCGCTTTTTATTTTTGCAAGGGAGAGGTGAGGAAATTGAGGAAGGTAGGATCTTGGTGTAGGATTGGAAGCAACATGCGTTCAGTTAAACCGCAATGTAGATTTTTAAAAACTATGCTGCAGAGTGCGAGATACAGCATTCGTGGATTAGCACAACCTGGACGCACAAGGTGCTTGTGCATGCATTCAACAAGTACTTGTGGTGTGTGCCTCATACGCTAGGCATCTCCCTTCGCTGTAGAGGATGTTAAGGGAACAAAGTATCAGTCTGTGTGCTTTAAAGAACATTAAAGGAGAGATTGAGAGTAATCTTGGATTGCTGCATGAAGAAGGGCTATGTGATGAGTTTTAAAATTAGATCTGAATAAAGGAAAGCTCTGCAAGTATCAGAAGGACAAATGTTCTGATCAAAGAGAAATGCAAAGAGCTGAGGCATGAAGGATTTTTGGTATTCAAGGAAACAAAAAGACTACTATGACTTGAAATGTACTTTCCAGCTGGACCCTCTCCCCTTGGAGATTTTAGAAATCCTATGACCACATCATACAAGTTTGCATTAGTCATGAATGACAGGGCATACGTCGTCAAGTCTTCACCTATATCCCACTGACATCCAACCAACTGTGAAACGTGAAGGTCCCTAGACTGTCCTGCTCTAGCCATGCCCGGCCATCCAGATGAACCACCCAACCAACCCACAGAACGTGATAAACTCTGTTTTAAATCACAAAGTTTTGTGGTTGTCAAGAACTGTTCCGGAACTAAGTGCTAGAAGGCGGCTTAGATTCTGATAGTGGTGGAGACTAATCAAGTTGGAATTGAAATATTTTGGAGGCAGAGTTGATAGCGCTTGCATTTAGGTTGAATGTTGAATTTGATAGAGGAGATTTAATAATAACTTCTAGATTTTTGATGTGGGCCTCTGGCTGGATAGTGGTGCCATTTAACATTAAACATGGTGGGGAGAGGGAAATCGGGAGGAATGGTTTGATGATTTTATGTTAGAGATGCCTTGTATGCATCCATGACATGTAGACATTTGAATAAACAAACTCTAGTCATAGCTATTAAATAGGCTAAAATAGATATTAATAAAAATAGACTTAAGCTTTGGAACTGGTTGGATGACCTAAGAAAATGTGTAATTAAAAAGAAAAGAGGCCAAGGACAAAGTTCTAGTGTCTTTCACCCTTTAGTGGTCAAAGATGAAAGAGGAATGATAGAGTTAGGAGGGAAATGAGAATATGGTAACACAAAAGTCACAAGACTGTTGGATTCAGTGGTATAGAGATTACCGGTCATCTGATTGAGCAGTCTCGTGGAGGAGTGGTTTTTAAAGAGCTGCTAGGGAGAAGCTGCTAGGGAGAAGGAAATTAAGATGAAGAAATGGAAATAACTTCTAAGTTTGGGGCAACAGCTGGGTAGGGTAGTGTAGTCCAGGGAGAGCATTTTAAAGCTTGGAGATATTTGTGCATAATGGTATGCAGAGAGAGAAATTGATTACATATGGAACAAAGGGGAGATTTTCAAAGTCAAAGGAAGAGGAGGGCTCCAGTGTACAGGCCTTGGGTTTGAGGGATGCTTCATCAATAATGACAGCATAATAGGGACATGCAGGTGCATAGTGATGACACAGAAGGCAAGAGAGACAGAGATAGCAATTCAGGAGCGCTAGAGCGTGGGAAATGGGGGTTTTCTTTTCTAATTTTCTTGAGTATTCCTAATGAATCGTTAGACAAGATAAGAGTGAGAAGTGAGGAAAGTGGTATGAGTTTAAATAGGACTGAGCTATAATAACAGAGATCATCCATTGTTCAATCATTGAACTAGTATTAAATGAGTAATTTTTATGTGTCACTCACTGTGTATCACTAGTTCAACCCTCAAAAATGGACAGGGTATCTGTTCTCAAGAAGCTGACAACCCAGCAAAAGGCAGAATATATATATATATATATATATATATATATATATATATATATATGAAATCAATTTATAATTTAAATCAGACAACAGTAATAGAGCCTACCAGGAAGATTTATTTGAGGTGGTTGTCAGGAGAGAGATTAACTTAGAATTAAAACCTACAGCACCAGATGCCTCATTTTTAATATAACTTTTACATTTCATATACAAATCTTCCGCTAGAAAAACTTCAGAAATCTGCTTCAGACAAGTTATTTAAGTCCACGTACTTTTTATTAGATCCTTTATATGCACAGTAACTATAGCCATATATAATGTTTCATATAAACGGTTTTATACAGAATAGTGTTTGACATCTATATGTTTTCAATTTTTTTTTTTTTGTCTTTTGTTTTTTGAGATGGGGTCTCGCTGTGCAGTTCAGGCTGGCCTTGAGCTCACTTTGTAGCCCTGACTGGTCTTGAACTCACAACGATCCTCCCACCTCAGCCTCCTGAGTGCTGGGATTACAGGCATGAGCCACCACGCCCGGCTTGTTTTCAAGTTTTTTAGGGAGGATTAAAATAACCAAACTTAGTTTATTCTTTAAAATGTTATATGAGCACATAGAATATCTATCTTTAAAATGAACATACAAACACATTAGGGATCAATTTAACAGCAATAATGAAACTGTTTCTATTTGGAAGCAATTTAAGAATGCTTTTGAAATCTTGGATTTGATAATAGTATGAGCTTATAATTAGCATTCATACTCAATATGACATACATATATGCCTAATATTTCTTTTGTTTTCTTTTAATTGTATGATATGGTTTATAAATATTTTTCTTATACAGCTTCATATACTGGAAGTAGCTCAAAACCAGAATGCTGATGAACAGCAGCAGCATGACGAAGACGATAGCAGAGACCAGGTAGCTGCTTGGTCTGAAACAAGAACATCGAAAGTCATCAGCAGTTATTATTCTCACTTTGGTTCTTAATTTCTTTAGCCAAACAATTTTTGAACAACTGGTTACTATATCTTTGGCACCAATCAGAGACTAATAAGGCACGATGTCTATGGTAAGGTCTCTGAGGCTGACCAGGGTGAGAAGGAAGCGTGCTCTGGGAGCTGTGCATCACAGGGGGTGCCATGCCACACAGAGGACACTGAGTGTGGACAGCAGTTAGATAAAAATGTCCGGGACTAGAGGAAGCAGCTAAGGCAGAACAGTGTTGTAGGCAGCTGCAAGGCAATAGAAGCCCAGAGATGTTTAAAAATCTCTCCTGGATGTTCTGGAACTCAAACTAGTTCATCTGACTAGGACACCAGTACCAGCCAGGCAGAGTGATTAGAGATGAGGAGTGATTCGGTGGGCAGAGAAGCTCAGGGTGCTGTTCAGTGGGAGAGCTCCTGCCTAGCATCGGTGAGGCCCTGGGCTGGATCTCCAGCACCGCCACAAACAAGCAAGCATAAGGCTAAGTGGACAGGGGCCAGTCTGCACCAAGCTAGAGCACGGATTTTACCAAAAAACCAGGGCGTTTCAGATATGTAATGTAGGACTGACATTTTGGATGATTCCAGTGGTAATGTAAACAGTCAATAAAAGGAAAGCTTGAATATGAAGGCTGAAAACCCAGCTGTAAGGTACTTGTAAGAATCTAGGTAAATGATGACTAAATCAGTGGCTGAAGAAGTGGAGAGAAATGGATACATCTAAGATATGTTCAGCAGTTAGGTTGGATTGGCTTTGGCGATGGTTGAGATGTGGGATTTGAGAAATAAGGAGGAATGACAGCTGTTACCTAGGTTTTGGAGATAGGTCACTGGGACACCAATATCATCATTTACCACTGATGGAGGAAATTCAGAGGGGAGAATACTCCTCTGCTGCCTTCTTCTCTTCCTCCCCACCCCAGAGATGGGATCTCTGTTGCTCAGACTGGCCTTGAACTCCTGGCTTGGACTTCAGGTATATGGTACCACACCTGGTTTGGAGCAGTATTTGTGCGTGCGTGTGCGTGCGTGTGTGTGTGTGTGTGTGTGTGTGTACAGCACTTAGATGGCACTCTCAGCTGAGTGTCAGACATCCACCTCTTCATTCAGGACTCTACATGGGTGCCTCCCCTGGGAGACAGTTTTATTCCTGGGCCGGCCACTGTGCTGCTGTTGTTTGTTTATTGTCCTAGTATTGGATGTTAATTTCAATTCTCCTTTGGACTCTAATTATTTGTTGAAATACTACAGTTTTTCAAGTCACATTAGCCTGATTTTTCTCTCCTATTGCCACAAACATGATCCAGCTTCAGTGCATGGCTTCCTTCTTTTGAACTTAAATAGCATAACTGTCTAATATCTGTTAAACACAGCACAAGGTGCAAGCAATAAAATGATGAATAAAAACAGGTACATCCTTAAGAAGTTTATATTTCAGTGGGGATATAATAAACAAATGATGATAAAATAAACCTAAACCTGTACATTTCGATAAGAAGGAGAGCTATGCAATGCAACAAAAACATTATAGCAGGATTTAACCTGCTGAATGGGAACAAGAAATGCTTTCATGAGGAAAAGATAATTATTCTAATAGCTGAACAATAAACAGAAGTAAAGTTGGTAAAGTTAAGTATTAAAGAGAAAAACAATCTAGGTAAATAAGTCGCATGTAGAAATATCCTGCTGCGGGACAGAGTATATACCTGACTGGGGACTGAAGAAGGTTGGTGGGTCTGGAGCTGAGGAAGTTGTGGGAGACATGACCCCAGATGAGAAGTAGGTAGATGCTAGATCTAAGGCCTTCTAGGCCACGTTAAGGAATTTTACTTTTATGGAAAGAAACTTACAATTAGGGTATGGAAAATACTACTCTGGCCCTTGGGAGGAGAATGAAGTAGAAAAAAGTAGGCGTGGAAGCAGGGAGTTCAGCTAGAAGTGTAGGGAGTGGCTGAAGCTGGAGATTGATCACACACGTGGGACCAAAGCAAGGCCTGCCCTGAGAACACAGAGAGCCCCAAACAAGTCACCTAAACAAGCTGTTAAAGCTCCAGGAAGGCCAGGGACCCAGGCCAGCCAGGCAAACAAGTTGCTGGGCAGTGAGCTTGAAATTGACATCATCTTCCAGAGTGTATAAATAAAAATGCTACAGTGGTTGAGCGATCCCTTTTCTCCCATCAGGAGAGAGGGCTTCACCTGACCTCAGCTTTCCCCTTTTCTCTATTTTCCCATCCTCTTACTGTCCTTCTCCCCGTGGGAACATCTAGAACTGTGCGGGTCATGGCAAATGGTGGCTGAACAGGGACCAGGATAAGAAGAAATAGTGGGTGAGAGTACATGTTTTGTTGTGTGTGCAGAAAGGGAGAAGTGCTTAGGTAATGGTCAGTATTCATCACCAGAGTGAATTGATATTGACACCATTAGGTATTGTATTTGGGGCAAAAAACAGGTTCACTGGGCCAAAAAATGGGCTCACTAAGGCCAAAGAGAGACTTAGGCTTAAAAGAAGCCAAATGAAGAAATAGAGTTAGAGGAAATCAAAAGACAAGAAACAAAAGGGAAAAAACAGAGTTACATGTTTCAGCTTCAGGGATGGGGAGCATTTTGCCAAAAGTTGCTCTGCTGCACCTGTAGGAATAACACAGCCACTGTCTGTCCCTTCAACAAAACCTTCAACTATCTGTCTAAAGTATAGACATCACTATCATTGGGCCATTAAGTATAGATTCAAACTGATGCGGAACGCCTTCGTGTTCCAGAAAAAGTTCCAGTGGGGCCTGCAACAGCCCTGCCAAAGAGAAGAGTGCTACAGCTTAGACAGCTTCCCTGAGATGGCCTGGCCCTGCTTGACACGACAGGCTCCTCGTGGTTGGAGGTAGTGTGATCCTGATTTGAGGTTTGCTAGTTTTTGTTTATAAAATACTATCACAAAAGACAATTGCAAATAAACAATACAACAGTAACTAATATGTAAGACTTGTAAAAACTCATCATTTGGCTTTCACAAGCTGGTAATAGGCTGGCCCCAGCACATCACTGGTCTCACCATGGCTTTGTAGTAAGTCTTGATAGCTGGTAAATTCTCAAACTCTGTTGTTTTTCAAAATTGTTTACTTCAGGGGTACTTGTTTCAAATTCATGATCAATGTAACTCCACGTTTACTTACATCTTATTTTTGCTTTTTTATGTCAATTTTTAGTTTCCAATACACGTCCATTACATAGCTTGCTAAATTTCTTGAGTTTGTTTGTTTCCAGAAGAAGGAATTACAAATTTACATACTTGGAGGAAATGGGAAAGCAGCTTGGAGCAAGTGGAATAAAATAATCCAGCACAAATCTATCTGGACCTCTGTAGACTTTAAAAGAATTATTTAACAGGTAGAAACTGCTGCTTTTGCTCCTTTGGCCACATCTCACAGCCCCTCCCCACCAGGGGCAGAACCGAAGAGTTCCGCCAGCCTGGAGTTTAGCCCAGACAAAAAAAGATGGAGAAATAATGTTGCTTTTTTCAGATGCAAGGGCAAAATGTTATGTTCTAATGTAATATAATGTTGATAGACATAATGCTGATTCTTCAGTATTGTTAAATGTGTTAAAATGTTCAAGTTGTGAAATGTTAAGAATCAGCATGTCTTTATAGTTGGAAACAATGTGTCTGGGGCTTGGGATTTAGCTCAATGGCATAAGCACCTACCTGGCAAGTGCAAGGTCCTGAGTTTGACTCCCTGTAGAAGAAAATAAAGCAGTGTGTCTGGTTGCCAAGTTGACAGTGGTGGATTGGAATGGTTGATACATTGTGTCAACTTGAAGTTTAGAAGCTGGCTTGAGTGACATGGTGGGCCAGGCCAGGTTCCTCACTTTGTAAACATCCTTATACTGAGCAGGAGGAGGGTACAGAAATGGTGTGCATGCTGTACTCACCCTGGGGGGTAGCCTGCTTATGATGTAGGGAAAAAAGGAGGCTTATACTTCCCCTCCTTCGCTCTTGCTATCTTTGCTGTCTTCCAGTGCCATGAACTGTTGTTACTCCCTCAGACACTGTTAACAGGCTTCTGCTTCCCATCCACCAAAATGCTTCTGCCTTATGCAAACAGTTCCATTTAACCCAAAAGCAGGCTCAACAAATTGTTAACAGTGTTCCTCATACGTGATAAAGGCTAAAAACTGCTAAACTTGCTCTGAATTTAATTACATAAAAAAAGGGGAATTTTACCTACAAAATTTGTACCCACAAAAGACTTCACTTGGCAGTATGTACCATTAAGTTTGTAAATTCTACGAAGGATGGAACTACAGCAGCAGTGAGACAATTCAATCTGGTAAAAGGAGGAAGTGAGGAAGGGCCCTTCAGAGAGATCTTCATCATAGACAATGGAAGGGCCCCAGCCCAGTGCTAATTTGGGCCACGGGTATGCTTGAGTCTTTCCAGAGAATGCTGAATGACCTATATGGGTGCTAGAGTGTGCTGTCCTAATGTATTACCGAGTCAGTCCCAGAGAGAAAGAGATGATGCCACCTCTCAAGAAGCAGATGCTCAGTCCTATGCCAGTGATGCTCTGAAGACTGCTCTACAACTGATAAATAAGGATGAGTCTAGACCAGACCTGGAGCTAAGTGGAGGAAATTGATCCAGAATGCCCAAGAGAAGGTAACCAAAATCAAAAATCAAGGATCTGAATAGGTGATTCGATTTGGCTAAAAATGTATCTGCTTGCACTCTGATTTTGTAAGATGTTTGTAAGTCCACCTGTGTATCTGTCTGTCTGTTGGTTCAGTCTGTTGCTGGGACCTGCTGAGCTAGTGACTGTTCACACATGTAAAAAGCACAAGTGCCTGCACAGGAGTGCCCCAAGGAAACTGGGTACCCGAGAAATGCCCTGAGGGCATGGAGTGCTGGAGGTGAACAGATGTTCCAGCCCTGAGCACATAGCGGCATAAGAAACGAGTTAGTTAAGGGGCATGAAATAGCCCCCAGGAGCTCAGAGAGCTGTTGTGGACACCAACAAGCTGTGTGCTTGTTTGTCCATTTATCCAATAAGGTAACAGCTGTCTTTATTTGAGCTAAACAATTTTTTCTCTTTTCCTTTTGTGTTTTTAGACCATTTGTTCATAATTAACTTTGGGTTATACATTTAAAAAGCATGCTTCCACCTGGGTTGCCAGCTGGTCAAAATGATGCTAAAATTGGTTGTGTAAATGCAACGTATATTGTTGTTTGTCATAATTTGAGAGTCTCTCATTGTTCAAAAATAATGTGTCACATGTTGTGATTGGGTTTTATAAGTCAGAAACAAAACTGTCAAGATATTAAACAAAAATCCCTTAGGGTGGTGGGGAGGTTGTTGGACAGGACTCCAGCTGATGGGGCACTGCCTGAAATAACTTTAACCAACTCTTGTTTGTTAATGGGAGGCCCCAGTGATCCCTATAGCTTTGTGAGAAATATACCAGTCATTGTTACTAAAAGTATATTATAGTGAGATGTTTACATGGGCCATCATCCAAAGGATGCTTTGATACAAAGGTTTTCATAATAGGATGTACACCCCACTAAAGGTCAGCAAGTTAGGTAAAAACTTCTTATGTATTAGATAGGGATGATTGATTAAAAGGGATATTTATGTCAAAATGAAAATTCAAAGCCAGGTGTGGTGGTACACGCCTGTAATGCCAGCACTCAGGAGCCTGAGGCAGGAGGATCCTTGCAAGTTTGAGACCAGCCTGGACTACAAAGTGGGCTCAACATCATCCTTACCTGCATAACAAGATCCTGTCTCACAAAAACAAGAAAGAAAAAAAAAAAAGGAAAAGAAAAAAGAAAATTCAAGTGTGTTACAAAATGTCATCATGATTGTCATACTATGTTTTGATTTCTAATTTTCTGTGGATAATGTGTAACTGTTTGTTACTATACTACATGTATTCAAATGTTAAAATATCCATGGTTATTAAACAATAATGGTTCTGTTTTGTACTCTAAGGTCCTTAATATCTATATAAGACAGTAATATTTGGCTTACTGTTGTTACTGTACTGTACTGTTATAAATCTTTTCTTCTGGATGCTCAACAACTGAAGTTTTGAGACCAAAAACCAAAAAGATAGAGGGGCTAAAGGGATAACCAATATTTTGGCCCCAACTCTTCAAGGTCGGTGAGGATCCAGGACATAAGAGAACCTCTGCTGTGGCATCCCATAACTCAGTGAGTCCCTGATCTTCTGACTCAGGAGATTGTGGGACCACAGAGGGAAGTGATCAAAGGTATGTGGTGTGCCTAAGGAGAGTCACCAAGAGAGAAAAAAATCTCCCAAGCTTTAATAGGAAGCAACTTGGTCAAGCAATGGCTATAACTCATCCAGATGGCTGACACTGATGTAAGTGCTAAAAGGTGCTGTGCATGATTCCAAGGCAATTCCTGAGCAGATTTAACTGACTTCGATAGATAGCAAGAGCTTAAGTATAATTATTATAGGTCTCACTTTAACTTGGTCTGGGGCATCAAAAGAAAGTCACAACCACAAAATGTGTAAAACAATGCTATAGTAATATGTTAGGCACACAAAACTCATATCATTAACACCTTCTTACAGCTACACTGATAGCTGTCTACTGTTATGGATTATACAGGGTTACATATCAGAATTCAGGAACTTAAAATCCTTGGACTGCACTTAAAATGAAAAAGATTCAAGAATGAAAAGACCTTCTACAGAGTTCTTCAGATACAACTCCTCCAACTGACCACCCATCACTTGCAACTACAAAACAAAAAAAAAAGGAGAGATACAGGGAGCAGCTGAAACTGGAGAGTGATCACACACAAGACCAAAGCAAGGCCTGCCCTGAGAACACAGAGAGCCCCAAACAAGCCACCTAAACAAGCTTCTCCAACTCCAAGAAGGCAAGGGGCCCAGGCCAGCCAGGCAAACCAGTTGCTAGACAGCGAGCTTGAAATCGACGTCATCTTCCAGAGTGTATAAATAAAAGTGCTACAGTGGTTGAGGGGTCTTTTTTCTCCCATCAAGAGAGAGGGCTCCACCTGACCTCAGCTTTCATCTCTTGTCTCTGCTTCCCCATCCTGTTACATTCTTCCCCCTGGGAACATGTAGAGCTGCATGGGTCTTGGCATAGGACTCTAAGACAGTGGTAGTTTGGCTAAGAGCAATGGTGATGGAGTTAATGAGAAGTGGACCCATTCAAGGGAGAGTGGACCCGTTCTCTCACAGGACAGGAAATTCAGGAGAGCCGTAGTGGTTGGGTTAGAGGTCATGGGTCTCCAGTCCCTGCTCGCGAAAGGGGCTCTCTTACTGGAAGACACCCACCACCAGCTAACACGCCTGGCTCTGGGATGGCCTGTGGGATGAGCGGAGGCCAATCTTTGGCCTCTAACCTAGTGGACCATTCCCTCTCAGGCACTCTGCATGTGCCCTGGCTGATGGCTCGAGCTACTGATGAGGACCTCCTCACTCAGTCTTTCTCCTCTCCTTCCTCCTCACCTGGGTGGATACCACTGTCTGTACTCGCATTAACCATGCCAACGCAATAAAGAAGAAAAGTTCCTGCAGTACATTAAACATGATTCCTGAAGTAACCTTAGAAACAACTCTTTGCTTATTTCACTTGCAGATTGTTTGTACCATTAATTTTCCATTAGCATAAAAAATCAAGCCATTAGTAATATTTAAAGCGGGTCATGAATAACTTGTCTTCTACTTTATTTTTTGGTTCTGGCATTGAACTCAGAGACACACATACTAAGCATGTGCTCTACCACTGAGCTACACCTCTAGCCCATATTTTCTACTTTCATTTTCATTTAACATTTTACAAAAAAAAAAAAAAAAGCAGAGCAAATAAGAAACACCCCCAAGTATCAGGCCCAGGACAGGGAAGCAAAATCATTTGAGGTCCTAACTATAGTCTTTTTGTCATTGTTAATAGAGACATGAGAAGGATTGATTAGAGGGAGTTATAAGACGCACTCAAGAATGGAGTGCAGGAGCTCAGAGAAATGAGGTGCCCCTATTTTTGGTCTTCAGACCTTTAGTGTGTTCTCCAAGGTAATAAGAAGTGAGTCCAAGGAAAGATCTATACTGTTGTTCCTAGTCAAATCAGAATGATTTCATAGAAAGCAAGAAACAAATCTATATATAGGCTTTCATAAAAGTCACTGAATTTGCAACAAACACTTCATGTGAATTTTATTTTTTATTTTTGGGACTGGGTATCGAACTCATGACCACATGCTTACAAGGCAGGTGCTTTTGCCGCTGAGCTAAATCCCCTTCATGTGAGTTTTAAATCTAGCTTTGTTTTGTTCTGAGGGTTCATTTAAATTCCATGTCGTATAGTAATATTTTATATAACAGGATTTTTACATCGGGAATCTCACAAAGCAACTGTAAAGTCTTTGTTTTTGGAAGACCCTGGGGTGTGTTTCCTGTTTAGCTGCTGTTCATATCTTTTAAAAATTCTCTCATTAATGCCCCATTAGGTATTTCTCATTACCTGGGAATCACTCCAGAGATCTCTATAGCAAATATAGCTGTTAGGTTACAGAAACTGCAAATTAGAAAAAATAATATTAAAGGTTAAAGTAAATATATTTAAAACATCTTCCACATTGCTATGGTAACAATCAGATACAATATAATCTCAGGGTGTCATTTTATTGACAAGAGATAGAATACATGCATTTATTTATTATCATTTATGTATAGAAGATTTTTCTATACATAAATTTTAGGCTCCTGTGAGATACCTTATAGATGAGGGTAACAGTGTAATCACACTGTCCTCACAGTAACTTGTTTTTTTTCTAAATTTTAAAAAAATTTTAGAAGTTTTTTTGTCTTTTTGAGACAGGATTTCACTAGGTAGTTCAGGCTGGCCTTAAACTCGCCCAGGCTGGCCTTGAACTTGCATCAATCCTCCTGCCTCAGTTTCCTGAGTGCTGGGATTATAGGTGTGTATCACCACACCAGGCCTGGCACAATTACTTTAGTTTATTTGTGGTTCCAAAGGCAACAGCAATAGTGATATATAGATATCACTAGTTTATATATATGTATAAAATTATCACTAGTATATATATATATAAAATTGGGAGCAATAATAAGTTTTGACAAAAGTAAAAAGGTTTATGTTTATTGGGCACTAATATTTAGTGAAGATGAACGCTAACTGAGCATTTACGATGTACTGGGCAATATGCCAAATTCTTTTTTTTTTTTTTTTTTGGTACCGGGAATCGAACTCATGACCTTGCACTTGCAAGTCAGGTGCTTGTGTCGCTGAGCTAAATCCCCATCCCCAATATGCCAAATTCTTATGTGCATTACTTTAGTCAATCCTTTAAGATGAGGAAACTGAGGCACGTTAAAGAACTCGCAGAAGTTACCACAGTTATTTGAATAGCAGAGCTGGCATTCAAATTCAGGTTTTTCTTGTCCTAGACACCATGAGGTTCACCTGAAGCACAGTGATTCCTTTGGGGAGTTGAGAGTGCCCAGGGCTCGATACGAGGAATGGTACTATCATGTCTAAAATGACTGAGTCTCTCACAGCTGAGTGTACTGTTTGGAATGAGACAGGAGATGGCAGAGTAGACTCAGTGAGATTTTACTTACCATCATGTGGGAGAAGGCAAAAGAAAATAGTTTACTTCTATGAGTATTTACTATGTACTCAGCAAGTGCTTCATTTATTTTTCAGAGTACTGTAAGATAGGGACTGCCGACCCATTTGACAGGTAAAGAAATAGCCATACAGAGGCCTAGAAATTTGCTTAATTCTGAATTTAACTTTGATCAGAACAAGGAAGGGATGTTATGCACTGGTAAAGGAGATGTAATCATTCTAAATGTATATTCGCCTTAAGGAAAATTCATGTCACAAAAACTGGTAGAATGAAAAGGGGAAGTAGGTAAATCCCTAATTATAGTTGAAGACATCAGCATTCCTTTCTCAGAAATTGTTAGGAAAAGTAGACAGAGGATTGGTACTACACTGAATAAAAATGGAGATGTCAGAAATCCCTTTGTGTATGGTAGAGCTAAAGCCTTAGGGAAGAAAAATGTTGAAGTGGATCCATCAGCTGTGAGTTACTCATCCCCAGTAGGGGAGGGTCCAGAAGATCTTCCGTGTACAAGGGCAGCCGGCACTACATCAGTGTCAGAAACACCAGCATTTAAAAAGAACAAGTGTGTTATGACTCTTTTCTGCCACTGAAAAGGGTTCTTTAATTTCAGTAAAGATGAAGGGATTCTCTATGGCAGACTAAATAATTAGAAACAAAGGAGACATAATTATTCTTAGTGAAAATGGGCCTTTAGTACTTGTGATTGTCAGTTTTTGTTGTCAATTTTATTGGATAGAAAGATCCTAGGAAAGGACTAAAACACATTTCTGGGTGTGTCTGCAAGGGTGTTGTCAGAGATGATTGGCATTTTGGGGCAGCAAACCAATGCTAGAGACCTGCCCTAAATGTGAGCAGCCATCCAACTAGGCGAGTGCCCAGTTAGAGCAAAAGAGGACAGGAGGAAGCCCACCACACATACGCTTTCATTCTCTTTTCTTTATTTCTGCCATGGAGTGAGCCACTTTGCTGTACTGCATGTTCTTTTACCAAGTTTCATCCAAGTTCCAAAACAATAGAGCTAAGTAACCATGGACTGAAACTCCCAAACTCATAAGCCAAAATAAACCCACTCCTCTGTTAAATTGTGCATTGTTATGGTTTATGTCAGGTGTCCCCCTAAAGCCTCAGGGGATCATAGGCAGGACTTTTGGAAGGCCATTGGATTATTGATACATTATAGCCAATTTGCAGTTAGAAGGTGGATCCTGGTTGAAAGGTCACTGTGGGTGTGAAGGTTATACATTCTTTCTGGGCTCTCTTCTTGATTCTGTCTGCTTCCTGCCCACCATGCTGTAAGCTGCCCTCTCTGACATGCCCTTCTGTCATGTCACCCTGTCTTGGAACCAGAAGACTAGGACCTGAAAACTCTGAAAACTGTGAGCGAAAATAAACATCTCCTTTAAGTTGCATGTGTCAGGTACTGTGTTTCAGAGACAAGCAAAATGACTAAGATATGTACATCAGGAATTTTGTCACAGCAATGAAAAGCTGATAGACCCAGTCCTATTCAAAATGAGTAGACATAAATGAATCCTTGAATTTGGGTAGTTTATTTTGGATAAAGACAGATGAGCAGCTCTCTAAGATTTATTTGACTTCTACGAAAAAAGCCAATCAGTGAGAGGCCTCAGATAAGCCGTTATAATAGAGAGTAAATAACTTTACCTAATTCCTGTACCTAAGTCTGATGAGGTAGCTGGAACGGGTTATTTTATGAGAATTCTCGAGAAAGAAAACCATGACAACAACCTGTATATCTTGTCTAAAATCTTTCACCTAGTTTTCCTCTGAGACAAATTTCATGAATTGTGGGTTGCATGATAGAGTTTTGAGAATGAAAGACAAGCTGCTCCTCCTCTGTACTCCCTACCACAGAAAAGGACTATGTTTTTTGTCCTCCTTGTTGCTCAGATGATATACAACACATTTGGATATGCTTCTCCAAATATTCAGAAGGAACTGAAAAGCACCTAGAATGGGACCCAGGGCAAAGAGAGTTTTCCCAGATGGTCCGTATAATGAAAATAGTGATGGGTCTAGGTTCCCACATTCTAAGAGATCTAAAGGTGCTTGAGTTGTTTCTGGAAGATTAGGAGCGGTACGACTGTGGAAGTTGTGACAGAGAATACCAGCAGACTACTGTACAGTTTTGAAGCAAATGCAGGCATTCTCTGCTAGGTAACTGTTCTAACAAACAGCTTATGGTGAGGGGTACGGTAGGAAATGAACAGCTGACTACGTAAGGCCTGATGACTATGAAACCTGGGATGCCAGTTATCAACACCATCTCTATTATCTCTAACACCATCAAGGCAGCAGTGCTCAGCTGAATGCAATCATTGATTTGCAGCTCCACCATTGCCTAGACATGGAGATTTCTTTACGACTTCCCTGATCATAAAAACAAATGTATATAAGATTTACAGATTTCTCTGAATCCAGCTATGGATGGCTGTGGCATTGTATCTCCATTCAGGAACAATAGATAGAAAAATCTTGAACAATAGATAAGAAAAAACTTCCTAGTATAACGTTGAATAGGATATATACATATATATTATATATCCTATTTATATAAATATATATCATATATAAAAATATATATATATATATTTTAAAGTAGGATTTCAATATTTCAGTTCTTCCCAAGAGGAGAGATGACCTGCAGTTTAATCATGTTTAGGGACTAAATGTTTGGCCCTATGGCTAGGACTCAGAATAAGAACTGATGAGAAGAAACTTTAGAAAGAAAGGTATATAAATGAACTTCTTGGAATCACATTAGAGTGTAGGAATATTTGTTTCTCCCATGAATGTTTACTAGAGAGAAGGTTTTCAATTTGTCACCTGACAACTGTATGGGTAGCCTCTTTCCTTAGCTACCCAAATGATGGCTCACTGGGTTCATAAATAATATGGCCTGGCGCCTTCACCAGCCTGGATTTTCCTCACCGAGGCAGGGTACTAGCACTGTGAAAGTGCAACAGCAAACTGACCTCTTTCCTTAGAAATATTAACCTAATAAATCTGATACTGACAGCATTTGTGGATTGGTTTCATTGCTTGTTATTTTTGCTAACTGTTGTTCATAGTTTTTTTTCATGTGTTGCATTCATTGTAATTTTTCCCAAGGAATTCTTTGAGGTTTGCATTTAAAGTACATTTCTCCAAAGGGACATATATTTGTTTCTGCTGAGCATATCAAAGGTACCCAGAAGTGAAGACTAGTTTAAAACATGGTCTGGATTATTATTCTTGACTACTCAGCTTGTCAAGAAACCCAGCCTCAAAACAATTGAGTTTTTAGATTTATAGCTAAAATTCTTAGGAAAAAGTTTTTTTTTTCACCTGAAGACAAGACTCATTCAGGCACATAGCCTCATCTTCTCCTAAGTGCTTTATTCTTCAAAGCTGCAGATTTTTTGATTTAATCTGTCTTATTGTAAGCTTGGTTCACCCCAAGCTTGCGATCCTGCCTCCCGAAGGCACTAAATGGTATCTTCAGATACACTAACTGGAGCTCACGGTTTTTCACTTTTCACAGATATTTAGACTGCAGGGAATTCATTTCCTTTCTCTCCAACTTGGTCATGTGTTTTAAAACATATATGCACTTTAAATTTTGTCCAGTATTGTTGGTATACTGCATAGAAAAAGTTTTCTCTGATAATCAAATCTGTCATAGTGCAGAAAACAGAAGTCTATTCTTACTTTTTTAGTTTCTATCCTGAATTGTGCCCTATAAAACTATGTTTCTTATTTATCAATTTTTTGCCTACTAAAAGATCATTTTGAGGGTCTTTTTTTTGGTACCAGGGATCAAACTCATGACTGTGCACTTACAAGGCAGGTGCTTATGCTGCTGAGCTAAATCCCCAGCTAAAAGATCATTTTTTTTTTATTTAAGGAGAAAAGAAAAAAA